TGTGTGTGTGTGTGTGTGTGTGTGTGTGTGTGTGTGTGTGTATCACATTTCCTATATTCACTCCATTCACCAGTTGCCATGTCTCTCGCTCTGACACGTCCCCCCCCCTTCCAACTTATGGGACTTGTTCAAACTCACAAGTTCTTGAACAGGTCCCTCCCCCATTCTTTTTCTTTCTTTCTTTTTTTCCTTTCCTATATTGGAGATTGAACTCAGGGCAAATGCTCTATCATTGAGCTATATTTCCTCTTTTAAACATTATGAGACAAGGTCTCACAAAGTTGCCCAGGCTTCAAACTTGAGATCCTTCTGCCTCAGCTTCCCACGTAGCTAGAATTACAGGAGTGCCCCATATCTCTTAAACTTTAACATTTACAGGTGGCTTGATTTGCACACAATTAAAGAAAAACAGAAGTCAAGCAGTTGCCGACAATACAGACTAAATACTTTATTAGGTTCCAAAATGAGAAAATGGAAGTGTTAACCTATTTTAGTATAAATCCACCACCCTTCTCAAAGAGCCTGCCTTAGCGTCCACGGCTCCCCAGTCCTGGTAGTGCCTGTACTCTTGGGGCCGCAGTAGATACTGCCGTCCCCTGTAGTTGGGCATCTCATAGAGGACCCAGCAGCCCTCCAGCACATGGAGGGAGGGAAACTCATTGAGGTGGAAACGGTCCTGTATGCAGGAGCAGTCCTCGGTTAGCTCCACCATGAGGCCCTTGTGGTCTTCCCTCTCATATAGCAGTATCCGGTGGGAGCCTGCCTGTTCCATCCACAAAAAGAAGAATGGGAAAAAGCAAGTGAGTCTCTTCCACAATTCATCCAAACACCACATGAATCTGGAAGCCGGGGTGTTGTGGTTGTGAATATAGAATCTGAGACTCCAAAACTGCTGCGAGGGCTGTACATGGAAGTTTTCTGCTATTATTTAGCAAATATTCATATGCTTAGTTCCTTCCTTCCTTCCTTCCTTCCTTCCTTCCTTCCTTCCTTCCTTCTTTCCTTCCTTCCTTCCTTTCTAATCTAGGAGATGGGATTTTAAAGAGGTGCAGACTCTGAGAATTGATTACAAACTCAAATATCTTGATTACTAACTCCCTGTGTTAGCTTAAACCTGTATTTTGGGTAAAAACAAATAGTCTATTTTGACCAGTATTCTCCTAATAAGAATAATATCTTCCAATTAATACACATATAAACTTAACAGCAGATTTAAGATTTTAAAAATGTAATTCAATGAAACTTTGGTTTTAATAGTCACTTCCAAATTAAAAGACTTTTCCAAACTTGGATACTACCTTTCCATAACCTATTTTGATAAACTGAGTTTTCAAGTCTATAGTACAACGTGTTTAATTCATTTATTAGAAATTCCTTTCATGTAGATAAAAATATATTTGCTAGAAACAGTGCCATCTTATGCCCAGCCAGCTTTCCATCTGCAAGTTTTGTTGTGTATCTCATTATGATATTACATTTGTCACAAACAACTTTGACCTAATGGTGACAGAAATTAAAAATAAAACTGGCACTTCTAAATGGGTTCTTTTTTTCGTTGTTTCCATGCCTGTACACATCTAGGCCCAGGCAGGTATCTAAAGCCCACTTAACTTTTAAAGGGAAAATTCTTTCCCCTCAAACCCACATCAATAAAACATCCCCCAAGTGAGTCCCTTAGGCAGCAGGACTCACTTGGGGGGATGAGGCGACAGGAGCTGATGGAGTCGCTGAGGCCCATCCACTGCTGGTAGTCGGGGTATTCCCCGCGCCGCAGTAGGTACTGGTTGCCCTGGTAGTTGGGACG